AAATTTTGGTACATGTCGGTAATAACCAGGGTTGTCAAAATATATAAGAGCTGACCCTTACATCGAGCAAGAACTTCTCGAAGGTGTTTCCTTAAGCTTGTTTCAAAGCTTACACTGAATAGGGCCTTAAACAGGCTGTGTGTGTGTGTCGTGGGGGGGGGGTATCGTGCATGGATGACTTTAGGGGGGGTATCTATTGCTTCATGATGATATAACGGCACTTAAGCTGGTTCTTGACTCTTGGAAAACGTTAACGAGGCTACCCTTTAACCCTTAGTCCGGATGTCAACATTTTCTGATTTAGTGCACTCTCTGTGTCGGAAGGACTAACACTAGCACAAGTTACGCTATGTACGCATCTGTATGCCCGACTACTGGTCGTAATGTTGTTGTTGATGTATTGTTTGGTCACTGTCTTGCCCCAAGTAAAAACAATACACTTGATGTGTTGGGAAACACTTGCTTTTATTGCTCCACAGATTATAACAGCAACACACGGTGCAATGTTTAAAAGCTCACTACAGTCTACTCATTGTTCTACTAAAAAACAAGCTGATTTAGTTACGCCTCACGTGGGGTCGTGTGGCGTAGCGGCAGAGTGCTCGACTCGGAACCAAGAGGTCCTGGGTTTGAGACATATCACCAAACTTCTGCCCTTGGGAAAGGCACTTTACACGACTTTCCTCACTTCGCTCAGGTGAAAATGAGTATTGTATTGTCCCCTATGTAAGTGGCTGTGTAACTTTTGTGGTATTATGCTTACTTTCGTGTCTATCTCTAGCCGTGAGTAGTACAAATTGAACTATATACTGTCTACGACAAAACTGCCTAGTGTATGTGTTACTAACCTGAAATCCTGGTCTCGACTGAATTCAAACGCAAGCGGGCTGACCAATTATTCCTACAAGCTTCTCTCACCAGCTACTACTATTGGCTAATCTAATGAGCATGTAAATGAGCTAAGGAGCTAAATATCTAAATTTGGCTACTAAGTACTACGTCATAGGTAACTACGTCACAGGCCCCATAACTGACGGGTCAGGCATGTTACAGAGGCATTAATATAAGTTGAAAAAAAAACTTGAGTGTGCCGTCACCACGTCTTGTGATTATATGTTTGAATATAAAAAAAAAAAAAGAAAAAAACACATTGTCAAGCTCTTTGCTGCTTCTTCAGCGTGACGTCTGGATCATCCGAGGTCAACGTCCTGTCGGATGTCTAGCACCGCTTGTACGTTGACCAGCCCTCCAGATCACCGACTTTGAAAGCCTGCATCAATAAAAAAAAATATAATCCTTGTTAATGCCATGTTTTAACATCTCTAATGTGTAGTAGTCGATTGGCTATAACAAAGACTTAACCAACAAAAGAGCACCGGAAATTGTAGGTTGATCAAGAATTTAATATATATACAGCTAGACCTGACAATTGCAGTTGGGTATAATAAAATCTCAAGAAGAAAAAATACTAATTCTTACAAGTCTTGTCTGGCAGCTATTCGCAAATACTGTAAGTTATGAAATTGTAGAAACAATCACATAATTCTGTTTGGTAAGCAATATTACTTCTTTTATTATGTGGTTAGTTTTTTTTTAATGCTCATTGCTTATCAGAACACTTACAACTAGGGCTGTGTACCGGTACGCAGTACCAATACTATACCGAAAAAAATTGATTAGGTCCAAAATACCTAATCCCTCAGTACCAGTAATGTACCTAATTAGTTTCACACCAATTTTATGCCTATTTGTAACCTGAAATGGGTCCCAAAGTAAGGACATTGTGTTCCTGTTACAGACTAAAAGTGTTAACTACTCTTAAAGACCTGTTGCATGTTAGTTACGTTCCCTCTAGATGTCACTTTGGTCAGGTTTAAGTTGCATGAGGATACTTTGTGTAGGAGATGAAAACAAAAACATTAATAGTTTTGCCCATATTTTGTCTGGGCATTCTCTATAAACAACTGTCAAGCTTATTAATGTTTTTCTTGTTATTGAAGGAGTTCAGAAGAGCATGTTAATTGGTCGAATCGTTCAGGTACAGTTTCAGGGCCGGACCTGTACCTAAACCGGTACCTGTAGCTGTACCTAAAATTTGTTTAGGTACACAGCTCTACTTACCACATGCATGGTGTTGTCGTCAACAAAATGGGAGCTATTGCAAACTGACAGACCCTTCCCGTCATGGTTTGGGTACACGGAGATCAGACTGTCTCCCTCCATGGTGAAAGTCACCTGAACGATGTAACAGAGTTGAAACAACCATACAGAATATTACCATAATATAGTTGCAAGGAGACACATACACTCACATTATTGATGTATACATGCCTTAAAAAGATATGTACTTTTCAGTGACTACTTGTTTAGACAACTGTTTTATACTATCAATTCCAACAACACTGTTTCCAGGTAGGATATGTAGTTGGTATTCAGAGGTTTGTAGAGTTGGAAAACTACGTTTCATGATATTTGTGTGGCGGCGTGAGTTTGGACCAGTGTGCGTACCCGTGTGATCTGAGCTTTGCTGTTTATAATAAAATAGTCATGGAGCTTCCAATATTTTAAGCTCCTTTTTTCAGTGCAGCTGCGCGCAAAGTCGTAGTTTGGATGTGGAATTGTATGAGAAATTTCTGGATTGTCCGTTTGAATGTTTGCCTCTCAAATTATTGTTTATACAAGTATATTAGAGCTGCCGCCTAGAAGTTGATAACGTAAACAGTGTGAGGATCGGTAGGTGGTTATGAGATTATGTTTTTGTCGCATCAAAAATCAACAAAAAATTATATCCTCGCAATCTAGTGTGCAATTTTACGTACCGAATAAGCAAATTCACTGTTATGAAGGGATATTCTTGTGTTGGTGATGAGGAAAGCGTTAATCTAAGACTAAGTTATGAGTATGCGGTAAACCCCTACGCGAGCCCCGCCCAATTCTCACATATGGATTCCATCTCGCCCTGACCCTGCCGCCCTGACGCCAGACGGGAATGTGAAAACATCGGGACGGTTCATTAATGATGGAGGGGAGGGTGAACAACTTTAAATCTCTCAGCGAAACACAAAAAAAACATTTGCTATACATATTAAATTGGCACACGGTATTATTGGCAGTTGAGTGCGTAATCAACGCAACTGAAGTATGGATGGCAAAAATATACAAAACGAACGCCTACAAACACGTCACAAATAAGCCGAAGCCCAGACCATTGCATGACAAGCATGAAGGCCAAGGGACAGTTCATTAACTGTTACAACGTTATACTCTCAAAGACCCTGCATAACAACACAGCAAAGACAGCTCACTTTTTACCCGTCTTTTAATTGCGGTGTCTCAGCACAGTGTGGTTTCTGCTAGTTGCTTTAGTAACCGTTTTACAGACAACGAGCATTTGTTTACTTGTCCTATAACTCGACCATACATAGTACTACTAAACTATATGCATAGTCTACTAAACTATACGTAGTACTACTCAACTATACATATTTCTGCATGTTTTATAGGTAGCTTGTTTCATTTTTTACAGAGGTTGATCCGGCTCTCGTTGACATGGCAACAACAAGCAGCAAAGAAAGTTTGGAGGACGTCGTGAGAGGATCAGCAGGGGGTTCTGCCAACACCGTTTCCACCTGGCAAGGAGGATCAGCAGGGGGTTCTGCCTATATCGTTTCCCCCTGGCAAGGAGAAAGCTGTGCGGAGTCTGGAGAGGAAACCGGGAGGCAAGACAAAGGTGTGAAAGTGTTCAGGTGTGAGGAGTGTGCCAAGCAGTTCAGTTGTCTTAGTCATATTGAGAGACACGTGCGGACTCATACAGGGGAGAAACCCTACAGGTGTGAGGAGTGTGCCAAGCAGTTCCGTCGTCTTAGTGATCTAACGAGACACATGCGTACTCACACTGGTGAGAAACCCTACAGGTGTGAGGAGTGCAGCAGACAGTTTAGTCAGCTAGATAAACTGAAGAGCCAAATGCGAACTCACACTGTGGAGAAACCCTTCAGGTGTGAGGAGTGCAGCATTCAGTTCAGTCAGCTGAGTGGCCTGAAGAGACACATTCGGACTCACACAGGGGAGAAACCCTACAAGTGTGAGGAGTGCAGCAGGCAATTTAGTAGACTGGATCATCTGAAGATTCACATGCGGATTCACACAGGAGAAAAACCCTACAGGTGTGAGGAGTGCAGCAGGCAGTTCAGTCAGCTGCGTCATTTTAAGACCCACATGCGGACTCACACTGGGGAGAAACCCTACAGGTGTGAGGAGTGCAGCAAGCAGTTCAGTCAGCTGGGAAATCTGAAGACTCACATGCGGACTCACACTGGGGAGAAACCTTACAGGTGTGAGGAGTGCAGCAGGCAGTTTAATGATATTGGGAATCTTAAGAAGCACAAGCAAACCCACAAAGGTGGAACGCAACAGGAGTGAAGACTGTGGGATGCTGTTTAGCGCCATAGGCTCATCCTCCTTCGCAGGGCTAAAATCCTCCGGTTCCCTTCCGGTTTTAGCCCTGCTATTTACCGCTGACAGTTTGACTTCTGGTGACGTCACCGCCAAACTGCTGTCAGCCAATCAGAGAATTTGCGCACCGAGCTTTGCGCAAAAACCGCAAAGGTCGCTGGGAACCTATTAGCCAATCAGGTTACGTCTTACATGACAGGCCAAGATGGCGGCTATTACAGATACTACAAGTTTCGTGCGAGCCGTGCAAGATTTATTTGGAGTCGAGCGGCTTCGTGAGCATCAGCAGTCGACGCTACGGGCGCTGCTTGATGGCAGAGACGTTTTTCTGAGTGTGCGGACAGGAGGAGGGAAGAGCCTGTGCTATATGGGCTTCCCAGCAGCGGCCAAAGCCCTGGCCAAAGCCGAGACAGAGTTAGGGCAGGCCCCCCGACATCCGTCTGGTTTGTGCCAAATAAGGCAAGCTCATGAATTATTTATAAGTGACGTCACCAGAAGTCAAACTGTCAGCGGTAAATAGCAGGGCTAAAACCGGAAGGGAACCGGAGGATTTTAGCCCTGCGAAGGAGGATGCACAGGCTATGTTATTACCCAATTTGACGCACAATCTAAGAACCGTTTTTCTGTAAGATGTGCCAAAGATACTGCATGGAGGCGAGAAAGCCTACAAGTTCGATGTAAAGATAGCAGTAAGACTACCCCTAGTAAATGTATCAGTTATCCCTATTTGTTTGATTTGGTTTGGTTTATCTCTTCAATTCCTTTTGCTTTTAGTTTGGTAGATCATAACTATTAATTGCATACACATGTATCAGTTCAGTTCATCCTTCAGGTGACACTATACATGTATAGTATATTGTTCATTTCTTTAATTCAAGTTGCCTTTATTTTGTCGTATATACTCCCTTTGTTTTGGAAGTATCCCTTCTGTTATAGGTGATAAATATTTCTCAGTTTCCTTAGTGATGGTAAAATAAAATACGAAAAATACCAACTATAAAATTAATGTTCCAGGGAACTTTTTGTTTTGTTATTTTTAACATATTACGTAGACTCTTTATCTTTTTATATCATTGCTAGTTAACATAGATATGTTTGTTAGCATTGAAAGCAGTTTAATATAACAAATATGTTGTACAACACCTACGGTTTTATTAGGTTCTTTTCTTTCATTGTTGTTCGGTTAGGTTAGCCGTTCTTAATTGTTTTGTTGTGATTCTTATCACATTAACTTTAATAGTATCCATTAGACGATGTACATAATCATAATCAGTAACTAATATCGGGAAGTGATTGTACACGTTAGGTTTATATGAAAGTATTAGTTTCGTTTTCCAGTTGAAGTTTCCTTGACAAATTGTGTGCCCATATTTTCTGTTTAGTGAATTATATCTTTTGACTACTTTCAACCCAGTGTTTTTTTTAATGTTTAATTTTTATTTTAGAGGATATTCATTGTAGATTGATGGTATCAGGGTCTTGTTATGACAATTACATCAAAATAAATCTTATTCAAGTTGTTGGTGCATACTCTTTGTGAATTTTGCATTTTACTGAATTAGTTTTACACTATGTTTAAATTTTTCCCTTTATTGTTTATTGTGCTCTCATACTTTCTCAAAGTCTGAGCGAAGCAGGTAGCCTAAACGGTAAGTGCACTGGGCCTTCGTTTAGTCTAGATATACTTTTTTTTTCTAATCAATACAAAAATGAGCCTGGTGTTGGCATTATACATCAATGATTTGTATTGATACTCAATCACTAAATACCTTGAAAACTAAAAAAAAAACAATGTAGATTAAAAAAAATATTTTCTTTGGAAATGTTCATAGGAGATTTTTAAAGTAATGGTTTTCTGTTACAGTTAAATTTGTAGTATGAGCAAGCCAAATAATGGCCTTTGTTCTAAGGCCTGTGCGCAATTTGTTGGGTAATCAGGTAATGTATAGGTAATGTAGAATTAAGGTCATGTTATGAACTAAATGAAAAATCAATGTAGATTATCTGGACAATTTTTCATGACATAAAACACCTGTGCGTCTGTAAAATCTGGCAAACCCTTTCAGGGTGTCCGTAGCATAAAAAAGGGAGTACAGAGATTCTTTTACTCTAGATCACATTGGTTATTAAAACGTAAAGAATACACATGTTTATTTCTCTAGAACAGTGTACCTCTGACGAAGACATGAGATCTCCGACCTCTAGTTACTACTAAACTATGCATAGTCTACTAAACTATACGTAGTAGTACTACTCAACTATACATATTTCTGAGTGTTTTATAGGTCGCTTGTTTCATTTTTTACAGAGGTTGATCCAGCTCTCGTTCACATGGCAACAACAGGCAGCAAAGAAAGTTTAGAGGACGTCGTGAGAGGATCAGCAGGGGGTTCTGCCAACACCGTTTCCACCTGGCAAGGAGGATCAGCAGGGGGTTCTGTCTACACCGTTTCCCCCTGGCAAGGAGAAAGCTGTGAGGAGTCTGGAAAGGAAACCGGGAGGCAGAACAAAAGTGTGAAAGTGTTCAGGTGTGAGGAGTGTGCCAAGCAGTTCAGTTGTCTTAGTGATCTAAAGAGACACATGCGTACTCACACTGGTGAGAAACCCTTCAGGTGTGAGGAGTGCAGCAGACAGTTTAGTGAGCTCGGTAGTCTGAAGAAGCACATGCGGACTCACACTCGTGAGAAACCCTACAGGTGTGAGGAGTGTGGTAAGCAGTTTAGTGAGCTGGGTGATCTGAAGAGGCACATGCGGACTCACACTGGGGAGAAACCCTACAAGTGTGAGGAGTGCAGCAGGCAGTTTAGTAAGCTGGGAAATCTGAAGAGGCATATGCGGATTCACACTGGGGAGAAACCATACAGATGTGAGGAGTGCAGCAGGCAGTTCAGTGAGCTTGATAGTCTGAAGAAGCACATGCCAACTCACACTGGTGAGAAACCCTACAGCTGTGGGGAGTGTGGCAGTCAATTCAGTAGACTGGATCGTCTGAAGACTCACATGCGGACTCACACAGGAGAAAAGCCCTACAAGTGTGAGGAGTGCAGCAGGCAGTTTAGTGACCTTGGTAGTCTGAAGACTCACATCCGGACTCACACAGGAGAAAAACCCTACAGATGTGAAAAGTGCGACAGGCAGTTCAGTCAGCTTGGTAATCTGAAGGCTCACATGCGGACTCACACTGGGGAGAAACCCTACAGGTGTGAGGAGTGCAGCAGGCAGTTCAGTCAGCTAGATAATCTGAAGACTCACATGCGGACTCACACTGGGAAAAAAACCTACAGGTGTGAGGAGTGCAGCAGGCAGTTTAATGATATTGGGAATCTTAAGAAGCACAAGCAAACCCACAAAGGAGGAACGCAACAGAACTGAAGACTGTGGGATGCTGTTTAGCGCCACAGGCTATGTTATTACCCAATTTGACGCACAATCTGAGAACCGTTTTTGTGTAAGATGTGCCAAAGATACTGCATGGAGACGAGAAAGCCTAAAGGTTCGATGTAAAGATAGCAGTATAGGACGTTTACTATAAGACTATCCCCAGTAAATGTAGCAGTAATCCTAATTTGTTACCTCCATGAAAAATGGAAGTATTGTTTGGTTTGGTTTATCTCTTCAATTCCTTTTGCTTTTAGTTTGATAGATAATAACTATTAATTGCATACATGTATCAGTTCAGTTCATCCTTCAGGGGACACTATACATGTATAGTATATTGTTTATTTCTTCAATTCAAGTTGTCTATATTTTGGCGTATATAATCCCTTTGTTTGGAAATATCCCTTCTGTTATAGGTGATATATATTTCTTAGTTTCCTTAGTGTAAGTGCCAACTTCCAATTTTGAATTTCCCGCCAGTAGATTAAGTTAGTATAGCTTCCCGCCAACTCCCTGCCCCCCTGAGCACCAGGGTAGGGAGCCCGTCTGTCTGGGACTTAGGTAGACAAGGCGACAGGCAGTGCATAAGGCACAAGCAGAGAGACAGAAGTCTGGTGTGGTTCGTGAGTTAGGACCAAAAAGGCCTGGGTACAGAAGTCCCAGGAAAGACCAGAAGAGGATTACAAAGGCCTGGATACAAGGATCCAGGAAATCCAGAAAAGGATTATCAAAGGCCTGGATAGAGAGGGTCCAGGAGATACCAGAGGATATTCTGTGGAAGGACGATGAGACCATACCAGTTTTACGCCAAGAACTCGCCAGGAACTCGCTAAGAGCTAGCCAAGAATTCACCAGGAACTTGCTAAGAACTTGCCAAGAACTCGTCAAGAAGTTAACAAGAACTTGTGCTTTGTTCCTCGAGTTGGGATCAAGAAATCAAACTGCACCTAGGAATACAATTACCAACAAGAACTCTACCAGCAAATTCAGAAACATCGAACTTATACGGCGGAAGTAGAACAGGGCGGATTTCAGTTTGTATTACTAACTCTACTGAAGATTAAACATTTATGACGTATTCCAATCAGTTTGTACGACTTCTTCCCTGAAGACCAACAGAGGTGAGTTCGGTAACACTTCCTCATACGTCCATCCCATGCAGAATAGCAGCAGCCACAGTAATAAAGTGGTGCTGCGCCTACACTTAGTGATGGTAAAATAAAATACGAAAAATACCAACTATAAAATTAATGTTCCAGGGAACTTTTAGATATGTTTGTTAACATTGAAAGCCGTTTAATATAACAAATATGTTGTATTACTATTCAGTATACTATACTACACACCTACGGTTTTATTAGTTATTTTTATTACATTGTTGTTCGCTTAGGTTAGCCGTTCCTAATTGTTTTTGTTATACAGTACAGTAGTTGTTGTGACTCTTATCACATTAACTTTAATAGTATCGATTAGACGATGTACATAATCAGTAACTAACATCGGGAAGTGATTGTACACTTGAGTTAGCGTTAGGTTTATATGAAAGTATTAGTTTCGTTTTCCAGTTGAAGTTTCCTTGACAAATCGTGTGCCCATATTTTCTGTTTAGTGAATATCTTTTGACTACTTTCAACCCAGTGTTTTTTTTTAATTTCCAATTTTTATTTTAGAGGATATTCATTGTAGATTGATGGTATCAGGGACTTGTTATGACAATTACATCAAAATAAATCTGATTCAAGTTATTGGTGCATACTCTTTGTGAATTTTGCATTTTACTGAAATAGTTTTATACTATGTTTAAATTTTTCCCATTATTGTTTGTTGTGCTCTCATACTTTCTCAAAGTCTGAGCGAAGCAGGTAGCCAAAATGGTAAGTGCACTGGGCCGTCCACGGTGGTAAAATCTGGGCTGAAAAGTTCCCACATGTCATAGAACCCGAACTGTGTTCGATCGTGTTCGATCTGGGGAATTCGAATCGAACCCGCGTTCTATTTCGGGGTCACCTGCGGTCATTTACTATAAAGCGGCAAAACAAGCCTTTCTACCTCCGTGCATTGCAACAGATAAAAAACAACACTTTTCTGTAGATACAAACAGTTTCCAGGATAGTACATGTCCGCTATCATTTTTTTGTGGACATGTAACAAGTAGCGAAGCTACTGTCGTATCCTTGAGTGACCTTGAATACTGTAATGATTCTTTACGCTAGTATGAATAACACAATGCACACTTTCTGGCGATATGACATGTCTCCAAAACTCGTTCAAACCTGGAAACATGGAGAGTCAAACATACCCCATTTACGGCTCAAAATGACTGTAACGGTTGTCCCGAAAATCGTGTTTTAGGGATTTTTGAAAAATGGCCTCAATTTTGAATTATGGGTAATTTAGTGAGAAAAATGTCAAAAAATGCCATTTTTTCACCAATATGTCGACAAAAACTAGACTTAAAATCAGAAATTAAAAAATCCCTAAAACACGATTTTTTGTCTTATTCCTAGTCTGCGAAAAATATAAAAATCGGGGATCTGGGGTAATATACGTAGCCAGGTTTGAACGATGTTTGCCTAAAAACGTGACATGACCTGTGCTCGGAAACCCGAAAATAATCGTCTTTCTGAGCGAAATTTTAAAAAATCATTGATTTAACATAAAAAGCTAACATTTAAAGGATGATAAGACGATAATTTCATCTTAATTTGACAAAATTTACCCCTGAATATTATTTGTGTATTTTCAAATATTTTACGGGTAGTCCAAAACAGGCCAAAATAGCGTGTTGTAACCCGATACCTTTTAGAACGCGCATAGCAATGGGAAAGAATGCCGTAGTGACAGACCGCCGTGGTCGTTTAGTCTAGATATACTTTTTTTTCTAATCAGAAAAAAAATGAGCCTGGTGTTGGCATCATACATCAATAATTTTCGGCTCAATCACTAAATACCTTGTAAAACTACAAAAAAAAAACTAAATGTAGATTTAAAAATTATTTTTTTGGAAATGTTCATAGGAGATTTCAAAAGTAATAGTTTTTCTGTTACAGTTAAATTTGTAGTACTAGTATGAGCAAGCCCAATAATAGCCTTTGTTCTAAGGCCTGTGCGCATATGTTGGTAATCAGGTAATGTAGAATTCTCATGTTATGAACTAAATGAAAAACCAATGTAGATTATCTGGTCAATTTTTCATGACATAAAACACAGGTCGGTGACGACTAAATTATGACATTTTGCCTGTTAAAAAATAATTACCGGTTACCAGCCTTTGCTCCAAGGACCGTGTACATTTGTTGGGTAATCAGGTAACAAAACTTGACCTCTGGCTGGGGAGTACTTCCGGATCACGGCATCGCGTC